AAAAAGTGGTGCGTTTATAATTTTGTTCTGTGTATATATATATATATATATATATATATATATTTATATATGTATACACACACAGTCACAGTTGGCTTCTGTTAGTACTGTTGCAGTATATAAAATGAAAGCAAACTATTGCGTGACGTGTCATACCGTGGTTTCTGTTCAGGTTGATTAACACTTTCGACTTCAAGGAAGCCGTTGCTAACAGGACAGTCAACATTCAGGGTGGTTACCAGGCAGCTGGTCTTTTTGTAGCAATAGCATTTGGCCTTGTAGGTGGAGCTTTGGTTGGTGAGTGCAGATAAAGTTAAACAGGTAAACTACTTTAGGTGTTTTTATAAATATGCATTAGAGCTGTCATTTTATGCTGTGTAATTTTCCAGGTGGGATATTAAAGCTGCCAATCTGGGGAGACCCAGCAGACGCCAACTGCTTTGATGATGAAGTTTACTGGTAGGTAAGAAAAGTGTTTTTAGATTAACTACATGGTATTAAGTTAAACAGAACTGATAAATTTGAGGATTTCTATGACAAAAGATTACTTAGAATTTATAAATAATAGAATTTGTGTTGTTTATTTTTAGGTTCCTGAGGATGAGGATGAGAATATTCTCTCTAGACACCCAAACATGAACCACACAAGAGGCATGCCAGATGCGTGAGTATATATGTTGTTAAGTTTAAAGTCACTTGATATGAAATTAATATCAAATTGCAGTTAAGAGATTAAGAAATTGCTGCTTAAAAATATTTAATGTAAATACTTTCTGTAAAACTGTTGGAATCTCTTATGTACACAGATATCAACGAAGTAGATATCAAGAAAAAAACACCCTGAAAAACTCCACTTCCTGCAGAACTTCAGCTGTGAATGATGTTTGAATACGAATGATGACGGGTTTACAGATTGAGACTAGATAAGATACTCAATGGAAATGTTTAAGTCGGTCATGTGCTGTGGGTTGTACAATGTCATAATCCTAAAGCATTTTGTCTGTAGCACCTGACTATGTTGCCACTGCTACTTCCACAAAAACTAATCCAAACGTGTTTATTTCCTTTTTAATGCTTTATATTCCTACACCAATGATGTGAAACTTTATCTTATCTTTGTTTGCAATCTAACTATATACTGTATATCAGTTCAATATTAATTGCATTTTCTTTTGTTAACTACCCGTGTTATTTAACCTCCCTAATAAAGTCAATTATTTTTTTTATCATATATCAGTTTTGTTTTTTTTTCTACATTTTTGAGCACTGAAGGATGTTGACGCTACAACGAGATTGGCTTTGACAGGTGAATTTGCATATTTGCCTGAGGCCTTTATTTGAAGGAACACTCTGTGAGCAAAGAAACTTCCGACTGTCTGGAATGTTGAGAGCTACATATTCATCAAAACTGTTTGGGCAAGAGTCCAGTTCATTAAAATAATAAATGATCATTCCCATTAGACAGCATCAGATCTCTCTAGATGATGTCTTGGAATCATTCTTTGCATTTATTGTCACTAAAATCGTTGTCTACTAATATGGATAGTCTCTTGTGTCCTCCCTTGTCCCTTGTCTTTGTTAACAATAAACTTTTCTAGCATTGGCAAGAAATTTAACTAGTTGGATTTTTTTTTAACACACCAGAGAAATGAATGTTTATGACATTTCTTTGAAAGTTGTCATGGATAAAATTAGGGATGGTGCAAAAACTGAGAAAAGAGAACAGACTCTGTGGACCGGATTAGCTACACAGCTGGTGTTTTTTGCTCTAATTGACCTAAACTTTTTGCCTAAAAGGAAGCGCTTAGAAAAGTGGGTGGGAGGAGGTAACAAGTGAGGCAGACTTTTAGATTTAGACTTTTAGTCAATGCTCTGTGCAGACTAGATAATGTGTTGATGTCTGCCCTTGAAATTGACTGATACAGCTTCAAACTAAATCCAAAATGACTGCTCTAATATGTTTTCATAATTAAATAAAAATATTTCAAGCAATTGTAACAGATATTCAAATAGGCTATGTAGGCTACATGTTATTGTACAATTTTTAAAGGGTTAGTTCACCCAAAAATGAAAATTCTGTAATCAATGTAATCAGCGTTTTTTTACGTTCAGCATGTGCGTGCTGTCTACTGAACGTAAACAATGCTGATTACATTGATTACGTTCTGGGGTACTCTCCAAAATGGCGGAAGACGGTAACTTGGGGAGAAGAATTGTTGAATAAATGATGTTATTATTGTTTTCTTTTCACACAAAAAGTATTCTCGTAGCTTCGTAAAATTACGGTTGAACCCCTGATGTCACATGGACTATTTTACCGATGTCCTTGCTACGTTTCTGTGCGTTGATCGTGGTAATATCCTTGCTGTCTATGGAGGGTCAGAGAGCTCTCAGACTCCATCAAAAATATCTTAATTTGTATTCCAAAGACGAACGAAGGTATTACGGGTTTGGAACGACATGAGGGTGAGTAATTAATGACAGAATTTTCATTTTTGGGTGAACTATCCCTTTAACAAAAACAACAGACACCCTTTATTTTACTTTTACTCTGTGTTACTTGTTTACTGAATCGTTAGCTGTTTCACTAACATGAAATCATAACATGAAAGACCAATCAGTCTTCCTATTTTCTACATAGCCTATACAGTTTTTACATTTTCTTTTTTCAAATGTGAAGTTTCATTATTTTTATCATTATCATCATTATCTGCAGTACTATGGTAATTATACAGTCAGTTTACTTTACTGTAAGAGTTGCTTACACATGGTCAGAAAGTTCTATAAGTGGCTGACTGGTTGTTGATAAACTTCTACTCTGATCAAAGGCTCTCATAGATAATGATTCCCCCTTTAGACAACCTTGTGATAATGCAAATTAATTGCTGTAATTTGATCCCTGTTTTATATATCAGAGCTGCAAGTCGTCAAAGTGTTTGAAAATGAAACCTTCCCCCTTTAACCTGATCAGTCTAACTTCTTGGCACTACAACTTTAATAAATAGTGTGTTCTGTGTGAACTTTTTGAGTCATCCTCTACTTCTTATCCTGTACTAGTGTCCATTCTCAAGTAGTGTATCATGTTTTTACTGTGCTTCTTCGGTAATCGGTGATGTATCTACAGTAGGTTATGCAATGTTTGCTTACTAGTGGCTGAGATGACTAAAACCCATGTATAATATATTTGAATATCTATTTATTTTTGAAGTCTTACAGTATATGTATTTTATTCATTGCAACTTCTTATACTGCTTCTTCCAAAAGCCTAATAATACATATTAAGGGAAGTCGTGGCCTAATGGTTAGAGAGTCGGACTCATAACCCAAAAGGTTGCGGGTTCGAGTCTCGTACCGGCAGGAATTGTAGGTGGGGGGAGTGAATGTACAGCGCTCTCTCCCACCTTCAATACCACGACTGAGGTGCCCTTGAGCAAGGCACCGAACCCCCAACTGCTCCCCGGGCGCCGCAGCAAAAAAATGGCTGCCCACTGCTCCGGGTGTGTGTTCACGGTGTGTGTGTGTTTACTGCTGTGTGTGTACACTTTGGATGGGATAAATGCAGGGCACTAATTCCAAGTATGGGTACATACTTGGCCACATGTCACGTCACTCACTATTAAGGGATTTTTAGTTATTATGTAAGCACCTGAATAACAGTTGTTAGTAACATGTATATCATTGCCAGTAGGTTTTTAGGGAATCAACAGTGAAGGAAATTGCTTAAATTTGCATTCTTGTTTGTATTCAAAATAAAAAAATAATTTAATTTAATCAGCTACTTGCAGTTTCGTTGTAATTATTTGTAACATAGCACTTAATTACAGTCCTGTTCCGCATGTGCATACTATTTAGTTTTTATAGTAATTACAATAACTAGGTAATAACTAGGTACTACTAACCCTGAACCTACCCCTAAAACTAACCTACTTTCTTAGGTAAGTACGCCGTAAGTACATGTAAGTGCATGTACTGTAAAATAAAGTCCAACCCATTTACTAGCAATTTCTGAGGGAAAATAGTTTCAAATGAAATCATACACCGTTTTTCTAGCCACTCCCCTTTTGAGAATATCAGATGCACTATTGTGCATAGTTTCATAGCTACCTGTAGTTGCTGAGCATCATTTCGCGTGAGACTGTCTGTCATGTATTAGGAAACAAAAGAGTTATAGTGTAAACCATGCATTATTTGTTCCCAAAGCAGATGGTTTCTGGTTGTGCAGGTATATCCAGTCATGGAAAGTTACTGGAAATTACGTCGGTCCCCATGCAGTTGAGTAAGTTATCATCTGAGAGATCAGAACAGTCAGAGCAGTCAGAACGTATTTACAGTAAAATACTTCTCTCAAAATTGGATTTGTCAGAACAATAAGTTATGTGCATCAGACCACCCTAAAAATAAATGACTAAGACCATGTATCACTATTAACAGAATATGGGGCATTTTTTATTACCTAGGTTGAAGGGGGACTCCTACTTTTAAATAATGAAAAATAAGTACTTGCAAAATTGAAACCCCGAAGAACAATTACATTTACGCTAGAGAATTTAATAAGCTGTTGTGCAGAAATTATGAAAACAAAACTTTTGCAAGTGCAAATGGAAGTGAGATCTCCTTGTAATTGATGATAGGGTGCTTGATTAGTATAAATAATTAACATTCATTTGAATTATTTCAGGGGAAACAAATGGGGTAATCATTTATAATTATTATGTAGACGTGGATATACAGATCAAGAAGGATGGTCCCTTTTTAAGGTGTCTCCTTTGTTGTAGACCTACACATGCTAGTCGCAATGAGACCTGATTGTGGTCCCTTGTTTTGTAACAGCTGAGAGCAAAGAGGATTACATGAACAAAAGCCTCTGTGGATGGTTGAGGAGGATATCCTGAAGCCAACGGGCTTTGTTTACATCATTGTATCTCCCACAGAGCTAACACAGGAGCACTAAAATATGCAAATATGCATAATAACCAAAGAGCTGCAGCCATGAAGAACACGGTCGTTAACGCCCAAGTCCTTCATTTTGGGAAGAAATCTCAGAATGTTTTGTAAATGGGCTGAAAGTTGCAACACAAGGGGTTAGTTCAATATTTTTATTCCCATGCCGGTGAAGACAAAATCCCATGCACCTGAATTTTTGAGGTTAGCCTTGTAATATTTTAGAGGTCTTTCAGCAGCTGTGAGTGAAAGACTCAGGTCTGAAAGCAGTGGTCCAGGAGGTGACTGCAATCCAGCTGTGTTTTTAAATGAGGAACATCCATCTGAGCCTCTTTCCACTACTTATTGGCAAAGGAGAACAATCAGCTAGATAGAGAGAGAGCTCCACGCTGTGGTAAGAATTCAACACACACACAGAGAAAACATGTGCTTCCACTTGAGGAAAATGTACACAAGTATGATGGATTTGTGTTGCATGTTTTTAAAGAATCCACGTGTTACACTTTCTTGAAAAAAAAAATCGATTGAAGAATTATAATTGTTGTTGTTGCATTACACTTTATGGTTGAAAAGACCAATTATGGCTAATTATGAATTTATAATCAATCCAGTGTTACTTTTAAAAGTAATGCATTACAATATTGTGTTACTCCATAAAAAAAGTAACTAATTACATTACTTAGTTACTTTTTATGGAAAGTAATGTGTTATGTTACTTTTGCG